AAAGAAGAAAGAAAGAAAGAAAGAAAGAAAGAAAGAAAGAAAGAAAGAAAGAAAGAAAGAAAGAAAAAAAGAAAAGAAAAGACCATGGACCTATTATGAATTGGAGATGTGGATTTGACTTGTGTTATCAGCAACAGTAATGACACTTTACCCATTAGCTCTCACTCTTTCACCTGATACTTGACAAGAAAGAACGTACATAGGCCAAAAAATTAACCAGAGGTTTAGTATGGCCATATAGAATAAAAGTAACTGACCCACTGTCATAATTAGTTTGGGCTGCTACAACAAATGTACCATAGATTGGTACATTTACACAGTAGCTTAAACAACAAATATTTATTTTCTCTTAGTTCTGGAGTCTGGGAAGTCCAAGTTTAAGGCAGATCCAGTGTCTGATAAGGGCCCATTTCCTAGCTGACAGATGACTGCCCTTTCAGACCCTCACATGACAGAGAACAGAGAGAGAGGGAGCGAGGTCTCTCACGCTTGTTCTTATAAGGTACTAATCCCATTCAGCAGGATTTTACCCTCATGACCTGATTATCTCCCCAAAACCCACCTCCAAATAACATCACATTGAGGATTAGGCTTCAACATGTAAATTTGGAGGGGACATAAACATTCATCCCATATCACCCACACTGAGGCCTGTAATATCAGTCATATCAATCATGTAGGATTTTCAGAAAAGGCTGCTGAATGTTAATCAATAAACATTTTATAAAAAGTTTTAATCATTACAGAAATATGTCTCAAGTACACATACATAACTATATTTACATACTGTAGATAAATTAGATAATCTGCATACATACAGACACACTTGTACATAACTTTTAAATTACGCATATTTCAAATGTATAGTTCATACATATAATCATACACAAAATCATTTCCCAAAGAAAAGAGTTTTAATATATCAGCCAGTCAGTTTCCCCTGCCTTGATCACTCTCCGTGACTCCCCAGTAAAATGGCAATGAGGAGCTGAGCTGGCTGGGAAGGTAAGGTGATGCAGCTCTTGTGATGAATGGAAGAAGAGGAATGAGCTGAAGTAGGGTCTGCTGTGCTCTAAAATGTAGAGTCAGGAATGAAATAGGCTTCCACTGAGAATTATTTGTTATCTAGGCAACACTGTACATTTTCATCCCTAATATGTTTATTTCTTTTTTACTGAAGAATCATCTTTATTAATGGAGACATGTATCCTCACATTCAAAGATACAAGGGCTATTAATTCAGGCTCTGAGGTCTTTCCTCACACTGATTCCCTACCTGGACCAGCTCGTTCAAGTCATTCATTCTATTTGAAAGATACTGAATGCTTATGGTGCGCTGGGCATGATTCTCAGTGTAGAGACGGAACAGTTACCAAGACAGATAGGGTCTCTTTCATGGAGTGGGGGATGAGAGATGGGAGAACAAGTGGGAGTCAATAATAGGCAATAAACAAGGAAACAAACTACCTAATTTCAGACAGAGATCAGTATGATGAAGAAGTTAAAACATGCTTCTCTCCCCATTCGGCTTTTCTTCTGGTGCCCACCTTATCAACTCTTACCGATGTTTTCCAACAACCTCCCCCGCGCAATCCTGAATAGACCATTTCCTCCTTTTATGGACGCACTGATCCCACCTGTATTCTTTCATGCCACTTTATTGCATTTGTTTACCTGTCTTATCTTTCCCAATGAGTTTAAGCCCCTTTGGAGTAAAGGTCAGACTTTTTTTTTTTTTTTTTCTTAATGATTTTGTTGTTGTAATCCCTGGCATATATTCTGGTTTTGCTCACCACATAACATACCCAATAAATGCCAATTAACTGAACAAATCTGTTGAAGGAATATAGGAGCTATTAAGAGTAAGCTAGCAAAGGACTATTATTGCAAAACTTGAGGCTTAATGACTATGTTGTGATCACAACCTTCTACAAAGATTTTAAGGTACTCTCATTAGAACCATGTTATTTTTTAAAAGATTTATTTATTTGAGAGAGAGAGAGCACACACGTGCTCCCGAGTGAGGGTGAGGGTCCAGAAGGAGAGAATCTTTCAAGCAGACTCCCTGTTGAGTGAGAGCCCAACGTGGGGCTTGATCTCATGACCCAGAGACCATGAGCTGAGCCAAAACCAAGAGTTGGAGACTTAACTGACTGAGCCACCCACGTGCCCCCAGAACCATGTTCTATTGTTTAATGTAGTAGCTCTTACCCAGTGTGCCATTTTTAAAGAAATTACAATTTAGGATTCACACTACTAAAGTGATGTCAGCCAGAAAGTGAATTGAACAAGTAGACTGTGTAGTGTGAGTTAAGAGGTGAACCCAGGGGCACCAAAGAAAGGTCATAGATTTCCCAGAACCCAGAGAATTTTCTCGAAGAGACAGAGCAGTGAACCATATTACTCAAATAACAACACTGCACTGAAGGACTCTGGCTAAATAATCTAAGGCCTCTTTTTTTTTTTTTTTAAAGATTTTATTTATTTATTTGACAGAGAGAGACACAGCGAGAGAGGGAACACAAGCGGGGGGAGCGGGAGAGGGAGAAGCAGGCTTCCCGTGGAGCAGGGAGCCCAATGCGGGGCTCGATCCCAGGACCCCAGGATCATGACCTGAGGCAAAGGCAGACGCTTAACGACTGAGCCACCCAGGCGCCCCAAAGGCCTCTTTCCAGCGTTGAAAACCACCTTGTGACCTCACAGTAGCTTTAGGCCATCCATCGGAGGGCTCTAACCAGCTCAGATCTTTATCCAATGCCTCCCAGGGAACTACCTATTCCAAGGTAGGCAGAGGAAAAACTCTCGGCATTGCAATAATAATAATAAAAAAAACTTCTTAAGGTGATTTAGGATTCATCTGCATGATAATGGGTATAATGCAGACCAGAGTGCAAACCCAAAAGAACGGATCGCTTTGAATGCTAATGAGAAAATGTTTTCTATTGATGCCAAAGCAGTTACAGAAGAATCTTACTAAAAGCTCTATTAGGCATTAATATCAGACTTGGATTTTATTAAGAGTTACATCTGAAAAGTGTTACTTATCAGGGGCCAACCTGTCTTACAGCTCTGATGTGCTTGTCTCCACTCCCTGATGATTTGTCTCCTACACAAACAATTCTAGGAACATGGGTTGTTAACTCCTGAGTCTTCTTCTAGCTTCAAAGACAGGATCCAGCAAGGAAACCACAAAGCTAGTGGAGTACATAAGCAGCCTGAGGTCTTCTGCAGACCAACAAACATCTGCCGTCTTTTGTGGTCACAGATGTATTTTTTTTTTTTTTACTAAGTTTAGGAACTGAATTTCCATTTTTTATTTGCTAATGGAAAATCTGGACCAAAAAGGTGCTGAATTAGTGAATCTCAGACAGGATAAACATGTTATTAGAGATGAAGCCATGGGCTTTGTTTATGTGGTCTCTTCATCAAAAGACAGAAAAAGAGTTGAAATAGATTGGTAAATTAGTAAATTTGATTAATAGAATAAGGTCTTATTCTAATTCTATCATTATTGGTCCCATTATTCCTAAAATAAAAAATAACTATTGTTGAGCACATCCCATATTTCAGCCAATATGCCAGGTGTGTCATGTAATTATCTGATTTCATTCTCCCAGCAACACTATGTGGTAAGTATCATTGTCCCACTTTCATAGATAGGGAAACTGAGGCTCAGAAATTAGAAGTAATTTGCTCAAAATCTTATAGGTCGTAAGTTGAAGAGCCAGGATTGCAAGACAAATGTGTATGACTTTAAAATTTGCATTCTTGCCAACATATCCATTGCCTTGAGAAAAGTTAATTTCAAAGATCAAACAATACCTCTTTCCCATTTTTTTTAAAAGTCCTTTAGGGATAAGACTTGACTGCATTTTAACCCTGAGCCATCAGGATTTTTTTAAAGCGTTAATTCACAGTAGTTATCTTTAAAGATTTCATTTAAATGAATTTAATTTATTTCATTAATTTGTATAACTAAGTCTGAGCATTTTTTTTTTTTTTTAGGAAAGAGACCTACTAAGTACAAGTGTGTTCTATTGGTTTTTCTAGCCTCATCATAATCCGTCAGTCCAGAATGACAGCTCGTGGTGGGATTATAAGAGCTCAAACTCACAGTGTGCTCAAAGCGGGAGAGACAGGTTCTGGGGATCATATAACAGGTACCGCAGTGGATACTTAAAACATTGCACAATCAGCATCAAAATAAAGTTTACTCGAACAAGTGAACTTCAAGAGAAAGGGAGGGAGAAGAGAGGGTGGATGGGAAGGGCTAGACATTCGGGGGCCTTAAACCGATGTTTTATAATAACTGGTGTATGTCAAACTCTCTTATGACCATCACAAAATAAACTGAAGTCATTTCCTCAAAAGTCATTCAATCTAAGCGTGCTAAACATCTCTTACCATATTTGGATGCCATTCGATTCACTCTAAAGGAATGAACACCTATGTGATTTTCAACAAATCCTATTATACCAACCCAATGACTGACATTCCTCGTTTTCACAGACATGATTGCAGTTTCATGCCCCTGTTTAAGATAACCACAATCACAGTTCAGTACAATTACTTGGATAGATCTCGTAGTGTGACATCCCACACCTATCTATTGAGAGAAACTATCTATCTAAATCATTTGCTTTCTAGAGCTTCCCACTTCTTAAATTGGCTGCAGGAGAGAGAAGGAAGGGAGGAAGACTGCAGAAAAAATATTACCCTCACCAGGAAAAAAATAAATACATTCAGAATAAATCAGAATTGGTTCGTTAACTATTGAAACACATAATAAATAATAAATTTTTTTCCTATACTTTATGAGTGACATTTACTTTCATTTTCTTATTTTTATAAAATTTTCCGATTTGCCTTATTTCCCTCCTTCCAGAGAAGATAATATTCGATTTTTCTCCTTTGCCTGAAGTCATTTCTTTGCAAATGGAAGAGTAGGAGAACGGAGCTGGCTGTGCAATAACCTAGGACAAATGATTTGTGTTGGTTACCTTGTAGTTTCTGGTTGTATTCGGTCCTGTCAGACTGGCTCCTCCTCAAGGTACCAGAGTGGTCCCCAGGAACACTGCTGTCAACCACTGTGTCAGTCTTCCTTCTCTCCAGCATATAGAGCCTGGGCCTCAAGAAGGTCAGATTCTTTTTCTTGGTGCCCATGTTCTCTTTCCCAGTGGCTTCTCTGGGCTCCATCTGAGGCAAAGGCAAGCTTTGGAGACTTGTAGGCAATGGCTATTTGCTGCAGTGCCTCAGGGTCAGGGTTAAAGCCACCAGAGTGACGAGTTTAACTGCCCCCTTCTTACAAAACGGCTTTGCTCCGGGGTTACCTGGCTGTGACTGCCACCTGTACGGAGTCCCAGAGCTCCACCCCTATGAGGTCATTCTTTTTTTATACCTAGAATCCAACAGGGGAAGCTGCCACCTGTTACCTGAGAGACCTGCAGCACAGAGCTAGGCAAAGCAGGGACTTCGCTGTCACATGCTACCGGAGCAAACAAAAATCTCATTGTGTGTGGCCGCGAGGCTGGGGGTTGGGGGAAAAGGGAAGAACAGGGTGGGGCAGGCCAGAAGGGCAGTGCTCGGGAGTGTAACCTGCGGCTTGTGGGTTTAATGTGTGCCTGTGGGCATGGACAGATGCACTGGGACACTGCGTTGTGGTCTGCTCGCTGGAGGCACACAGGGGCTTGCGTGGGACTTTTAGCTGGAGTCACCCACGTGTGACCCACAGAGTTAGTGTGGGGTGGTTAGAATTTACATCAGCATCACAACAGTGGGTACAGAATCATTTTTAAGGATTACCGTGTGCACTCAAAAGTCGCGCTTCCGCCTTGATGAACATTCTCAAATTATTTACCAACAATGTATTTGCCAAACCTTGCTCCACATTCTCAAGGAAACAGGCGTTTGAATTTGAGAGGCATCTGGCCACAGGCACAAGAGGAGGAGGAAATGTCCACAGAAGCCTGGAGTCTTTTGATGTCTCCTGTCCATGCGTGACCCTTGCCTGAAATTCACCCTTTCATGGTCCCAACACTGTTCTCTGTTCTGCTGCTTAGGAAAATAAGCATGGTGACATCAGGGTGTGATTTCTGTAAGATCTTTTCCCTTTTCCCTTTTCATAGATGGAGTGCCAGGAAATGGCAGCTCACCTTGGGAGAAGAAGGGAAGGAAAAATGTTTGAAACTGAAGAGAGACGTGCGGAAAGTGGAAAGGACAGGGGCAGGGATTGGGAGGGTGGAAGGCAAATACTGATGGCCCTTTCACTAATTGTTTTGAAGTTGTTTTTCCTTGGAGTTACTGATATTTCTCAAGGGGGAAATTTGCAGAAGCTCTGGGAATGTGCTGAGTGTTTTGTCTGTCCTCGTTAAAGAAAAGAGAGACTCTAAGAGGAAAGTAAATTCTCTTTTATTGTAAAGGTACTGCCAAAATTCAGCTTTGCACTGCCCCTTCTGAATCGTGGCTAAATCTTGTTAGTCAAGGTTTAGAAATGAGGAAAAAAAGATAAAAACCATTTTCCAACTCAAGATGTGTGGGCTGAATATAACTTGCATAATTACCTTAAAAGATAAATGACAAACCTTCACCCACTGCAGAGACATCTATATATAGCTGGGCATATTGAATGGTTTTTATTTAATATAATTGATAGTCTTTTTTTTAACAAGCACTCCCAAGCTCATTCAATAAATACTTTAAAAGGCACACTCACTACTAAGATGTAAAATGAGCTTTCTTGATTCCTGTCAAAAAGTCTCACTTGTATTCTAATATTATATGTACATATACGTATATAATATGTTTGCATGTGTTCACCCGGTAGCTAACAGAGATACGCTATTTCGGTGTAGTACTATTGCAAACGTGGACCATTAAAACTATAGAACTTATGGGAAATATGAGGTTAAGGACACAGCACTCCAAAACTTTGTCAGTGACCCACAAAAAAAAACAGATAGAAAACTATAAAAAATGGTTGCACAGTTTTACATGTGATACATGGTTAAGAAATACATAAATAGTATAATCAATATGGCACTTGATATTGAAACAGAACTGAAGGATACTTGCGGAAGTGGGCTTTAGAAGGGTCACAGTTTATGGGTCAGGAAAGGAGCCGTATGCAAAATCAGTTGGAAATGGATACCAGCAGACGTGGATGAGTGTGGCTCACAGCCCAGGCAGGGCACTGAGGTCACTGGTAATTTTGAGGGGTGTACATATGTGCAATTTTTGTACTCCTTGGTGGCTCAAGGCATCTGGATACAGTTTTCTGCATTCACCTAATGTTTTAAGTGGTCGAAATCACACACCAGCAAATGTGAAATTGTGTTATGCCCAAACAGTTCCCTAATGTATCAATCTCGTTGGAACAAATTTGTGTTTTCATAACAAGCATTATAGCAAAACTGGCTGTGCTACTTTATTGTATTTTTAAATTTTATCAATTGAGAAGGTACATAATATTGCTATTACGGATTCAGTAGTGAATACATATTTTGTTTTTTTAATAAAAGTTTCCATGTTAACTTTACAAATAATACTGCCTTTTAATCAATCAACAAATGAGGTGGACATTGTGAGTTGCTTTAATATTCATCCTAGCACATTCTACCCCCATGACATACCTTGCCAACAGAACACATTTTTTGTTCAAGGCAGAATTAGGCTTGGCCAATCATAATGATAAATTTGTTCCCTATTTTTCCAGGCTCTCTTGCTGCTAGGGGTGGCCATGTATTCCCAGGCCTGGCAAATGAGACCTCAGGGGCTCTGCTAGAACAGAGGGCAAGTGTGTTGACTCTGAGGAAGTTTTGCTCCTCGGGGGTGTTGTCACAGCTGGCTTCAATCTTCCCCTTTCGTCTAAACTTGCTCTCAGGGGGCAGTTGCAACCACCCTGTGTCCATGAGAAAAGACCAAAAGAACTATGAGCTTTGATACCATGGAGCCACTGAACCAATACTTGCAGCCAGCGACCTGTAGACTTCTTGTTATGATAGTAACATAAACCTCTCTTCCTAAAACCATTCTTAGCTGAGTTTTTGTTGGGAATACATTTCTAATGGATTCGACAGACATACAGTGCTCGGTTATATGTACATAGATTCATAGTTCTCCTGCTTATCTCTTTGCATTTTTTACCTACCTGTTCAGAATCTCACACATAAAACATGACTTAGTTTTTCTGGCAATGAGAGAAGACAGGTTGGAGAGATTTTGAGTGTTTCATCACTGGAGCATTTTGCTAGAACGTGAGTGAGACTAGAGGACAAGGACCCTGACTTGTCTGAGTTTTATACTTTAAGGCAGAGGTAAGAAAGTATTTCAATGCAAGGATTTTATGTTATGTAAATAAATAAAATGTTGATATTAAGACATTTAAATTAACTTTTTTTAATTATTATTATTTGTGGGGGAGGGGTAGAGGGAGAGGGAGTGAGAGAATCTTAAGCAGGCTCCATGCCCAGCGCCAAGCCTGACACAAGGCCCAATCCCACGACCGCAAGATCATGACCTGAGCTGAAATCAAGAGTCAGATGCTTAACCGACACTTAACCGAACCACCCAGGCGCCCTGTGGCATTTAGATTAATTTTATTGGAAGTAAAGAGCAAGTAGTTCCTGGCTCATTATTTTAAAAAGCACTGGACAGTGAATTCAAGACTCAGTTTTAGCTTTGGCTATGACATAAATCAGCTCGATGTTACAAGTGACACAATCTCTCCAGGTCCCAATTTCTTCATTTATAAAAATGTAAGGATGAGCTAGCCATTTGAGCTATTCACTAAATATTTTCAGTTTTCCATTTGGGCACATGGAAGCATTGCACTGCCTTGCACCCTTATAATTTAAGTGTGGCCATGTAACTTGCTTTGGACAAAGAAACTGATTAAAACTGATATATGTCACTTGTGGGAAAGTGCTAAGAACCAATGTGTGATTGGCTCTAGCTCTCTTTCCCTCATTTATGATGACTGACAAGATTCCAGGCAGTGGCAGCTCTATCAGGATGAGTCCTGGGATGTGGATGACTCAGAGCACAGCCCCCAACCATCCCATAATTGTTGTCTAGTTTGAGCATGAAAGAATTCTTTGCGGCTTTAAGCCACTGAGGTTTGAGGCTTTTTAAAAAATTACTTCAGCATAACCTAGACAATCCTTATTGCTGTAGGGTGTAGATTAAATGATACATACATCTTGTTCAGGTCCAGCATTATGTGATTTCTGAATTCTAATCCCAGGGCGTTATCAGGTTGGAAGAGTCCCAATTCCAAAACAGAAATAATATCTCTCGAATGATGTCATAAATAAACTGGATTGGAGGAAGGAAAGGAATTTATTATGTTAGGAATTCATTGTAAGAGTCTAGGTGAGCAATGCTTGGACTAGGGTAGTGGTAGTAGAGATGGAGAAAAATTGATGAATTCAAATACGTTTTAAAAGTTGAACTGACAGAATTTGTATGTGGTTTGATTGAGGTAGATGAATAAAAAGAGGAATGAAGGCAAATTCCGTGTTTTAAGATTAGATACCTGGGAAGATATTGGTGCTGTGTGCTACAATAGGAAGAAAAAAGACAAAAGGAAAGGTAAATTGGGTGGGTTGTCGAGAACTCCATTTAAGATGCATGAAGGTTAAAATACCTGTGAAATATTCATAGGAAATGTCAGGTAGCCTTTGGATTTATAAATTTGGAGTCACTATTTAGATTTTAGACAAAAAAATACTGGTCATCAGAATATACATACCTTTTTTTAAGATTTTATTTATTTATTTGAGAGAGAGAGAGCAACAGTAGGGGGGAGAGGCAGAGGGAGAAGCAGACTCCCTGTTGAGCAGGGAGCCTGATGTGGGGCTTGATCCCAGGACCCTGAGATCATGACCTGAGCTGAAGGCAGAGGCTTAACAGATTGAGCCACCCAAGTGCCCCTGAATATACATACTATTTAAAGTCGGGGATGAATGAGACCATTTAGAAAGAAAATATAACCAGAAAAGAAGGACCAAAGTCAAGCCCTGAAAAACAGTAAGTCTAGAGGTGGGGCTGGAGGAAAACCCAGCACAGAAGGCAGCAGAGAGCAGCCGCTGAGGTGGGAGAAACGTGGGAGAATGTGGCATCACAGGGCTGGAGGCAGCTTTTTCTAAAATTCAAGAATGGTCAGTCTGCTGAAAAGCTAGACAAAAGGAAAATGGAAA